GCATAGTGTGGGACATTACTGTATACATTTGTAACAGCCTTTATAATGCTCTCATTTCTATCAGACACAACACACATGTTACTCCTCTCACCGTATGCTTCTTTAAGTTGCTCAAAAAACCAAGTCCACGCAGCATCATTTTCTGAATCGATAATACCATACGCAAGTGGAAATATATGTCCTACAATAATATCAAAATCATATATTAAATGTACATATACAACAGATTCACGTTTATACATATACATTATTACATATATATATATACATATACCTGCGCCATCTGTCGTGCTTGCTGCAACAAATGTACCATTATATGGACCTCTCAGATGACTACCATCCACCACGACTACTGGTCTACAATGATTGAATCCTTGGATAAATGTATTCAATGCAACAAATAGATACAAGAACTCATTATTCGTACTCTTTTTCATACGTATATGAGACCCCGGGTAAGTGATATCCATCATATACAAATACGCAGGTAACTTTGCATATGATGCAGCTGGTGTACCCCTCAAAGCTTTTAATGCTTTCTCCCTGGCCCTTCAAGCCTTCATATAGTTAACATCAACTCCTAGATCAATCTTAACATCCTTTCTTATATCAGCTGGTGTATATTTACGTTTATGATCTACAAATTTAGGTTTCACAATCCCTCCTATTAAATTGCTAGTTACATGTCTTTGCGAATAAACTCTATCGTTTAAAGGACATGTATGCTTTCGGTTGAATGCTCGAATTCTGAACATTCCAGATTTGTTGATATTAGAGGTCTTCATTAACCATTCACATCCTTTAGTAAAACATTCCAGAGTGTAACTGCATATAATTTTTAATATAGTATACAAATTTAGTTTACAATAGGCAATAAAAACATTTATACAGTTTAAAAGTCACTATTTGAGAGGCGCACTACCTTATTGAATTTGACCGAGTAGTTTTATACTGAAATATCTCTTTAATCGCATATCTTTCCATGTCTGCTTTCAAAATTGATTTGTCCTTGTATACTTTATCAACCTCAACATGCTTATTAGATTCGTCTGAAATCACCCAAGTTGTATCAATCGATAAAAATGCAACATTTATATCCTCCGGTTCAACAACAATCATATCATGACAATCATTTTCTGCAACAGTTGCCAACACCCCCATCTCTTTACACTGAGAAATCTGTCTATCACATGAATCCAAAAAAGTTATACAAATAGGAAATTTGTTAAAATCAATGTTCGCCTTTTTTAGCATTACGTACACCCTGACACCCATGTCATTGTGTATAACCATTCGTTTATTGTTTTCTTCAACCTTGTACTCAATCTTCAAAGTCTTATTATTCATATCAACACAAATCTTTTTTGCAATAGTAGTATAAAAATCAAGAAACGTTGAATGTTCCTTAAAAACTACTCCCTCTATAGTATAATCAACGTAATAATTTGTATCGTCCCATTTTCCAGAATGCATAACCAAAATAGCTAATGAGCCCATTATCTGTACATTTATGAAAAGGAATATTTATATATATTTCAAATAATTCAATGAGATCATATATACAATTAATACAACAATTTTTACACAATCAAATTATTGAAATTTTATACTGTTAGAATTTTTAATACACAAACACTACATCTACAATAGTGTATACTTCTTCCAAAAATAAATTGTATGACATAGAATTTTTATATTATTATTCTTTTTAATATACAAAAACTACATCTACAATAATATATAATTATATAAAAAAAACACATGATTTATGAATTTATACAATTATGAACACTGATATTAATATTGACGCTTTCAAAATATACAAATACCGCGAATCACATATACAATTACATGAACAGTATATAATTGTATATTGCAAATTTTCAGCTTAACAAAATCATATTTTAAATTTTTTTTTAAATAAAAACCACTCACACTAACGAATGAACACAAATTCAACTTAACAAAATCATATTTTGATTTTTTTTTTTAAAAACAAACAATCGAAAACAATTCACAAATTCTAAAACCAATAAACATGAAATTTCATCGAATAAAAACTTACCTGTATTCGATTGCCAAAATTGCTGAACTTCAGTTTCACAAAGAGAAAAAAAATTATTATTTTTTTGTTTCAATGGCTGTATGAATTTTTTTTTTTGAATTTGAACGTTTGGCTTGAAAATTGGAACGTTTCCCTAAATTTGTGGCATTATCTTGATTTATTGTTACCATATTTAAAGATTCAGTTACAAACAACTTTTTAAAATAGAATTGTATAAATAATAATAAAAAAACTATATACAAAATTAAAGACACCTTTAATAACTTAACTATACCCATATAATGTAATTAAGTAAACTATAACCATATAATGTTATTTAATCTAATAAGTTTGTCATATATGAAATTTTCCCTACTTCTATAGGTGATGTTTACAATAATAACTCTTAAATTTATGTTTTCAGTAAATTAATAAATATTGGGAAAAAAATATTTAATGTAATTGAATATACTCCATACTTACATTTGATAAGGTTACTTTGAAATAATTACAAAATATAGTTATATATTACATTTTTATAGCAAAATTCACATATTTCTTAATTGTAAATACAATTCTTGTATGTATATATATATATATATATGAAACCTTCTCCGAACTCCACCTATGAAATTCACTGGGTATGTTTTTGTTGTGAGCATACAGTAAATATGTTATCATCGTATACATAATATACCAGTGTATACATAATTTAAATAATGCATTATTTATGATGTCCACATGGACACAAATATATCTTTAAAATACAATATTAAATAGTGTAGGGATAAGAAGATCCTCCATAAAGTTTTGTATCATAACAATAATTTCAATCAAAATTTGAATATATTACAAACATTTTTCCCTAAAATAATAATTCTTTATATATTATAATTTTTTAACGAAGGAATTCATCTTTCACGTTGAAATTGTCACGAACCTTATAAGTAGGAGCTAAATTAGGTTAGGTGGATGATAAATAATGTAATCTCAAGTATTGCATTGGTTAATGTTTTTCAATGAAACAAAAGGAGGAAGGGGTGCAAAAAGAATGTTAATCTAGGTTAAGTTTAAAGGAATAATCAATTATTATATTATTATTATTATTATATAGTAGAGTTACTATTTATTAATATTATTACCCACTTGGTACATAATTCCCGGGCCAATTACGTTTCAAGGACAAGTTTCTACATTGGTAATCACATTTAATACTCGATTTAATTGAAGAATTTTTATTATATTCAACGGCAAAAGAAATAATAATGATGTCATTCAAACTTAAGCAAAAATAATTAAGAATTTAAGCATTGCATCAATTTCGAAAAATAACGGATATATATGCTTAGCATGTTATATATTTTTTAGAAAAATATATCATTGATATTTGAGCCTCTTAAGATTATAATATAAAGTTTGCATAGAGAAGTAAGATCGTGTGATATTATTAATTTAATTAATGTGATCTGGATTGCAATAGCGACCTCATTAACATATTCACTGCATCCATATGTTTAGAGATAATTGCTTAAAACACTTATATATGTTTTAAGATATACTTTCGATTCATCACCTAACATAGATTACACAGAAAGTGATTATAAACTCTTGTAAGAATATATAACTTTTAATTTTAAAAAAGAAAAAAAAATTGAGAGTAGTATAAAAAGTACATTTAAATTTGATGAAGATTTAGAAATGTATTTCACTTATATTGCAAGATCGTATGTGTATTTAAGTTTAGTTATTGAACTATTGATATTCTTAAGAATATTCTTATATTTGACCTAAATACATTCTTGATCTGCCATATGACATAGCAAGTGATTTCAAACTCTCGTAGTAGCATGTGATTCTTAATAATAAAAAAGAACGGAGAGAAGTATTGAAAATACCTTTAAATTTGACGAGAATTTAAAAATGTGTCTCACTGTTGCAAGATCGAAGTTATTTAAGTTTAATTAATCAACTAAAAAGATATTTTTAATGCGATCAATAATACAAAGATAAAACTGACAATTTTTCACTAAATTTTAAGTTGTGTTTCAATATGTATCTCGTCAAATCATAGTATATCTTCACTTATATTATACCACTTGATGTTTGAGTAATTAGAATAAAAGGTCGTTTGATATGTTGAACAAAGTATATATAGCATGAGATAAAATTTTATCATCATCTAATTATTTTTTTGGTTATTAAATAATTATTAAATTATTGTCACTTATTTTTGACAAATGATTTAATTAATGATATCGGAATCAGCTAATCTAGTATAAATAATAAAAAATAACATAAACACCGCTAAGATTCCTTAAACCATTTTATATATCAAAAATAATGTGGAGAATATTTTTATAAGCAAATAAGTTGTTAGAAATTACATAAAAGTTATACCATAATTATAAAATTATTAATCCATAATTTAAAACTATACCAAATATAAAATAAAATAATTCCCCAATTTATCCATAATTAAATCTCACCTGAAGAGATTATCACCATCAATTCAACTCCATTGATGATCTCATACGTGAGCTTGAAAGCTTAATCTTGAAGCTTTAACTTGAGAGCAGATTAAGAGAAGAAGAGTATTTTGTATTGATTGTGTATTGAATTAAAATGAATACAATATGAGTATATATGTAACCTTGATGAATAGCAAAACTAACTTCTAACTAACTATTGGAAAATAACAACTTGTAACTAACAACTTATAACTAATATCTTGTAACTTGTAACTAACTAAAGCCACTAATTTGTTACTAACAGAAAGTTTGTTACCAACAGAAAGTATATTCTCATCACCCCCCATCAAGTTGGAGGTGATGCAAACACAGACAACTTGTGTAACAAAGAATTGTGTTTAACTCCAGTTAAGGCTTTGGTGAGGATGTCAGCTAATTGTGAATCTGTGGATATGTGATGAAGTGTGATCAACCCTTGATGAAGCTTAGTCCTTACAAAATGGCAATCAATCTCAATATGTTTTGTTCTTTCATGAAAAACTGGGTTCTTGGCAATGTGAACTGCTGCTTGGCTGTCACAATGAACATGTATTGGCAGAGAACACTGCACATTCAACTCACTCAGCAACCTCTCAAACCATACTAGCTCTCCCACAACCTGTCTTATTGCCCTGTATTCAGCTTCAGCAGATGACAGTGATACTGTTGCCCGCTTCTTGGATTTCCAGCTGATAGGACTATCTCCCATAAGAACTAAGTAACCACTAACAGATCTCCTTGATTCAGGGCAAGCAGCCCAATCAGAGTCACAGTATGCACTCACAGTAAGATCAGCCTTGTTTGAAATAAAAATACCCATAGTTGGATCTTGTTTCAAGTACCTAAGTACATGGTAGGCTGCTTTCAAATGTGGTTCCCTGGGTGATTGCATGAATTGGCTCAAATGTTGTACACTATAGGATATGTCCATTCTAGTGTTAGTTAGGAAGTTAAGTTTGCCAATCAACTTCCTATATTGAGAAGGTTCAGTCAATAATTCACCATCTGTGGCCTTCAATTTTTCAGTGGAATCAAGTGGTGATGAAGTAGTTTTGCAACTCAACATATCAAAATCTCTTAGAAGATCAGAAGTGAACTTCCTCTGAGAAACAATAACACCATCATGTCTGTACAATATCTCCAGGCCTAAGAAGTAATGTAGTTTCCCCAAGTCCTTTAATTTGAATTGGTCATGCAGGAAACACTTTAAGGAATTGATTTCATCAACATTATTCCCAGTCATGATTATATCATCCACGTATATAGCAACAAATACCAAGGAACTACCCTTCTTCTTTTAAAATAAGGAATAGTCACTGTCTGAATGCTGATATCCCCTTGAACACAGACTGTCTGCTAGCTTCTCATACCATTGCCTACTTTCCTGCTTTAGTCCATATAAAGATTTCTTTAACTTGCATACCATGTTATCACATCTTGTTGTAAGACCTTGTGGAGGTACCATGTAAACTTCCTCATGTAAATCACCATGCAAAAATGCATTATTCACATCTAGTTGATACAAGTTCCGGCCTTTCTTAACAGCCAATGAGATCAGTGTTCTCACAGTAGTCATCTTTACTACAGGTGAAAAGGTCTCAGTGTAATCTACTCCAGCTTGTTGTGTATAGCCTTTTACTACCAGCCTTGCCTTGAACCTTTCTATACTTCCATCAGCCTTATGCTTTATCTTGTATACCCATTTGCAGCCAATAGCCCTTTTTCCATCAGGTAACATGACCATTTCCCAAGTATCATTAGCATGTAAAGCTTCAAACTCATGTGTCATGGCTTGC